TTGACTGTGCTCCCTCTGCATCCTCTTGGCCTTCCCTGTTGGCTGGAATTTTGATGTGGAGACTCAGCTTTCACTAGGGATGTGGTGGCAATGTCTAGAGATAGTGGCACAGAACAAGGAAGGGATCTCATGTCCCCGAATGTCCGTGGGGCACAGCTGCCCTGCCCCCTGGGTTGCTCACCTTTGCACTGGTACATAGGAGCAAAATGAACTCCTTTTTTTTTTTTTTTCCATAATTTTATTGAGAAACAAATAGCAATGAGACAGTTTCAAACCAAATTGGTAGGACAGTTTCAATAATGAACACATTGCATACATTTTTCCTAGTGGTTATGAACTCCCATTTTATAGCCTAGTGTTATGATTGGGACTATTAAAATAACTGTATTGCATATAATTGTATTTATATAAATTATATAACTAATATTTAATTTTAATCATTACAGTACATTAATAAGCCACTGTATCAACCAGGATTTAGTCAGGAAAGCAAAAGCACAAGGGTGTGTGTGAGAGAGTTTTGTTACAGACATGTGACATGTTACAGACATGTGACACAACCACACACACACTAGCCCCTCTCCCAGAAGAGGATAGACACCACGCCCCTTTTCTGGTTTGAGGTGGTATTCATCCTTCTAGCTGATTCAGGATCCTCTTCTAATATCTCATAACTTATCAGCCATTGTAGTAGCTGGCTAATGAGTCTTTGCAGCACTGGTCTCTATGTCACTGAAGTAGCAGGTGAAATCTGTACTATAAGAAGATCCAAAGCCAGGGTAAGGTGGAAACCGTAGGACAGCGAGTAAGGTCAGCTGCTTCTGACCTTGATGGCCTGGGCATCTGCAGAACTTGATGTTCTTTGTCACAGATCTGGGCCACCTACCCAGTGAGGAGTCCATGAAGCCAGAAGAGGGCTCAGGAGGAGGTAGGGCAGCTCCAGGCCTGGCTGCTGTTCAGACAGTGAGGTGAACTGGAAGAGGACGGGCAATGGCTGCTCCTGTTCTTCCCCACCTTGTGACCCATTGGAATAAGACCCACACGGAGAATGTAATTCCGGGCAATGACACTCATCCAGGCTAAGCTGACACATTACACATCTGTCACAGTCCCTCGTCAACTCACAATGTACAGTTCTATTTTTTACCTGCAAATGAAAACCATAATAAACTCAGGCTTTTAACTGACATGACACAACCATCACACACACAACGACACACACACTAGCCCCTCTCCCAGAGGAGGATAGACACCATGTCCCTTTTCAGGTTTGAGGTGGTATTAATCCTTCTTCTAGCTGATTCAGGATCTTCTTCTAATATCTCATAACTTAAATATTTGTATATAAAGTCAATCACTATTTAATACGCTTTAGGGTAGGTGAAATAGAGGCAAAAGAAGGGAAGGAAATAGTATTTGGCTAGTACATAAATCAACATATAAACATTTAAAAATTTGTACTAGTTCATTTTGTAGTACAAAGTGATTACATTCTTTATAATCTCAATTCTTTTTGATCCTCTTACTCGCTCCTCTCCCTGCCTCACGTCTTGGTCCCCATCCCTTTCCAAAAGGTCTATCTTCCTATTTCTCATGATCTGCTTTTATTGTGCTCTTTATTTGTATTTTAGGTTGCTCATATGAGAATGCATGCAATATTTAAGCTCGTGTGTAACGTTGTAGTTTCAAGATGTGCAGTTTTCTTACAAATGCCTCAACTTTGTCCTTTTTTATGGCTGAGTACTACTCCATTGGGTATAAGTACTAATTTTCATTATCCATCCATTGATTGATGAATGTATAGACTCCTCCCAAGATTTAGCTATTATGAATTATGCTGGTAGAAACATGAAGATGTATGTATTACTCTACTATGATGTCTGTAACTCTTCTCGTGAAGATAGTTACAAGGGGAAGAGGAATAGCCGTGTGAAATGGAATTTTTATTTTTAGTTTTTTGAAGAACTTCCATACTGAATTCCATATGAGTAAGAGAGAAACCACATGGTTGTACTCTACTACTAGTTTATATTCCCACAACAACGTAGAGGGTTCTTTTTTTTTCTGATAGCCTCACCAGCATTTGTTATTATTTTACTTCCTACGACAGCCATCCTTTCTGGGGTAAGATGGGATTTCAGGTCATTTCATTTGCATTTCTTTAATGGTCAGTGGTGTTGAGCCTTTTTCATGTATTTATTGACCATTTCCACTTCTGGAGAAGTGTCTTTTTTTTTTTTTTTCCTGTGGTACTGGGGGTTGAACTGAGGACCCTGTGCTTGCCAAGTAAGCACTTATTCTACTGAGCTACCTCCCCTGCCCCTGAGAAGTGTCTTTTCATTTGCCTGAGGTTTTGATTGGGTCTTTTATTTTAGTAGGCTTAAGGTTTTGAATTCTTTATATTTTTTGATATTAGTCCTCTGAGAAATAAGAGGCAAAAACTTTTTCCATTTTGTAGGTTGTCTCTTCACTCTGTTAGTTGTTTCCTTTGATGTACAAAGCTTTTTTAAATTTTTTTTTAACATTTATTTAGTGTGTGTGTGTGTGTGTGTGTGTTTGTGGCCAGCTCAGCCCACCAGGGGGAGGGGCTGGCTGGCATGTGGTGCTGGGGGATTGAACTGCGGTCCCTGTGCTTTTCTAAGCTTGTTCCAAATAGGTGCTTTAGACCACTGAGCCATCTCTCCAGCCCTGTACAAAGCTTTTAAATGATCTTATTTGAGGACTTTTTTATTTTAAAGATAATAAATT